ATAAATAAACACTCTTTTTAAATTAATTTCTTTTACTTTATTTTAAAACATTAATTCAGCTTTTTCAACAAACATCTCTCTCATAATTATACCACACATTAGTCGTCGATCATTGATGCTACTTGACTTAAAAGTTAAAAGTGTGGATATTGCACAGGAAGATCATTAAACAAAGGAAAGACTAAAAGAAAGTGTCTCAAATATACGACATCTCGATTTTTAAAAAATGACAAAATATATTATGTTTAAAATTTATCTAATTTATATCTTAAGAATATAAGTTAAAAATATAATAAATATAATTTTTATAATTAATTTATATAAAAAATTATAAAATTAACATTTATTTTAATATTACTAACACTTAAATGATTTTAATTAATTAATTTAATTTAAATTAAAATTTATATTTTTAATAAAAATTAATTATAAAAAATATATTAATTATATATTTTACTTGTGTCTTAAAAATACAAAATTAAAAAACTCTTATATTTATAATATTAAATGATATACAAGATATCTCATTGCATTACTAATTTTTTTCCTGGGGCCAAGGGTTGGCTCTTCTTCAGTCCACCCCTCAGACATGGTAACACTAACAATGAGAATATTCCTCCATCCACATCTAAAAATTTCATTATCAATTTTTTTTTTATATGCAGTCTTCTCCGATGCAGTCTTCGTTTTACATTCAGTCTCTGATCCACTCTTTGATTTATATCATAGTGCACCATTTTTCAAATTTTATATACAGCAATCAACTTTGGATTCTTCTGTTTATAACATATGGCAAAGAGGTGATGCGTTTCTATTTAACCACCCACCGCATCAATATTTCGGCTTAAATTAAACGGAATAGAAATAAAGAGCGAGCAGGACATTCGGCTTTTATTGGGCCAGAAATGGGGTTATTTCATATGAACACAGAATAAAGTTTTTTTTTTTATTCTGTTTCAAAATATCTTTTAGATTCGAGCTGGCGTCAAGGCGAAGACTTCTAGAACACGCGATAAGAAGTTTGAACGCATGACTGACTTGCGCAAAAGTACAGTGCAGGATGTTTCCTTCTTACTTCTATAATACGGTATTATCTGTTAAATTGATCAAAAAAATCTTCTACCAAAGCTCATTTCTTCTTTGATCAAATCAATTTAATTTTTATCTTGTGTGATTTCTTCTTTGCAATATTGTTTGCGGCAACCTACAAAAGATGATGAATCCATTTGACGCTCTGAAGAAGCATCTCCGCGAAGACGCGAGGACACGATTAGCCATTCTCTTCGCTCAGATTGCTCTGTTTACTGCAACAATTTTTGTGTGGAGAACCAGGCTATACGCAGAACATGATCGCACCGGTTTCAAAACGGCGTTGTCTTACCAAATCATGGCCATTCTGGTATCTAATTCGAATCGTTTGAGTAGTCCTCCTGGACCCAACCCTAGAAGGTGTGGATCCAACCCTAGATGGTGTGTTTTCGTGGTAAATCTTATTGCAAATCTCATCTGCTTGATTTTAACTCCTGTTTTTGAGAAATTTTATGAGAAATCCTTGAGTAGTCTGGGTTTTGCCTTGAGCATCACTGTTTTGTGTCTAATCCTACGGGTCATAATCCGACCCTTCACGGACCTGGGGTTGTTCGGTTTTCTAATTGGAGTCATTGTATCGGTTGCGTACAATCTCTTCGGACTCAACTTTCAAACTTGGATAGTTGTGGTCATCTGTTTTCTGCTAGTGGGTTTTAGTATCTGGCTAGACTGGAAGTGGTTGGAGGTAGGACAAGATCGCACTGGGAGGGTATCAGAGGGAGGACAAGTTCAGTTACAGCGCATTGATAGGGTATCAGAGGGGGTATCAGAGGAAGCACAAGTTCAGTTACCGCGCACTGACAGGGTATCAGAGATTATTGAGTTGTTAACACAGTTAACGGTGGCGGGTTTCCACCTCTTTTGGGTTTACATTTTGTTTAGAACCAATTGTCAAGCAATGCCAAAATCCATATCTTGCTCCTCAAGTTCTGTAATGGAAATGCTAGCAAGTTTGCTTATTTTTAATTTGTGGTATACAGAAGTGCTAGCAAGTTTGCTTATTTTTAATTTGCGGTTAGAGGATAAGCGGTTCGGGCATAAGCTTATTTCTCGTGTATTTTCTCTGTTTATGATGCTGATTATCCTGCTACTCGTGGGAGTTGGTGGATGCCTAAAGAAGGGCCTAAAGAAGATAAAGAAGCCCGGAAAAAAGACCAGGAAGACGAAGAAGGGCTAACGCACGCATGCCACATATATCGTTAAGGCCGTGCCAGTCAGGTTTATGTGACTGCACATATATATTGTACTCTAGCATCTTGTTTCTCTTCGTTATGGGATCTTATACGCAACTCTCAACTCCACGGGAACTTATACTTCAACACTATCCTCATACCGGGCCGCGGATTGGGTAGTTATTCATAGCAGAAAGTAGGAATGTCCTTGAATTGGATTCGAGTTACCCCATTGAATCTGGTTGTCATTCTTGACAAGGATGGGCTGCCTGCACAACCTTCTATGTGGTCAAGCATTTTTTGTTTTGTAGTTCTGTGTTTGTACTGTGTTTCTGATGTGGTTGTTGTATTTGATTTTCACATGTGTCTTTTGTTTCTGGGCCAAAAATAATAATAAAAGATTGAAAGCTTCACATACCAAGATCCCAATGCCTGCCCAAAAAGGGTAAAAATCAACATTGAACCCCTTACTTTATAAATTTGGTAGGTTTTAACTCTTTATTTTACAAAGTTGATAAATTTTAACCCCTCACCTTATATTATGACATTTTTAACTCCTCACCTATATGAATTGAAGAAAATAACTCTCACATAATATTAGGTTATAACATTTTGTTGATTCTGTTAGTTGACGGTTAACATTCGTTAGCATTTCGTTATAGAAAATATGAAATTGAAATTTAATTTTATTTGTTAGTTTCATTAACGGAATGCTAACAGATGCTAACAGTCAGCTAACAGAATTAACAGTCAACTAACAGAACTAACAGTCAACTAACAGAACTGATAGTCAACTAACAGAATTAATAGAACATTATAACCTGATGTTAAGTGAGAGTTATTTTCTTCAATTTATATAAATAAGGGGTTAAAAGTGTCATAATATAAGGTGAGAGGTTAAAACTTACTAATTTTGTAAGATAAAAGGTTAAATCATACCAACTTTATAAGGTAAATGGCTAAAAGTGTCATATTATAAGGTTAAAAGCTAAACCTATCAATTTTGTAAGGTTAAGGGCTAAAAGTTGGTTTTAACTCCCAAAAGAGAGAATAAAAAGACTAGCAGTAGGTGAATTACTTTAATTAAAGTTCTTTTAAGGAAAATGAATTAATGAGAGTATAAAACTTTAATTACTGATAGTAGTAGGATTGATTGAATTGAATTATCCAAAAAAAATTCAGAAGAATTTTTCATATTGAAGCGTTCTACTATTATTCTAATTTTGGTTAATTTGATCAATAATGTTGTCAATTACGTACTGGTGTTGTTATCACTAAAATGCAACAATTGAAAAAAGGGGAAATCCTTTATCATAAATTTATTAGATATTTCTTCAGTATCAAGTATAGACTTAATTTTAAATTTTAAGTAAAAATTTTCTAACAAAATTCATTATAAATATATCTAGAATTTTTATAATGTCTATAATACTGATTTATTTGCTACTATTAAAGATATTAGTATAGTATGAGCTATGAAAAGGCAAAAATATTCATAATAAGTTAAGGACACATGGAAATTCATTAATACTAGATTTTTTAGTACACAAAATCAAAAATATTTTGAAAAGAATGTGCATTTACAAGAACTCAAATGTAGGAAAAACTTATAGAAATTTTATAATTATTAGAACT